TAAGCAGGACTCCTGAAACTTTTCCTTTCTTCTGGAAACATCCATCGTCTTTCCAGCCTAAGGCAGTACAGCCTGCGGAATCCACATCACGAAACCCGCTCCCCTGTCAGCAGATGACTGGATAAAATTACAGCTTTGGGGGAAATTTGGCGTTCTTGCCTTTTACAAGGGAGCTGTGACGTCCGCGTGGGGCCGAGCGGCGCGTGGGCTTCTGCCGGTGGGAAGGGCTTGTTGTGGCTTCCGAGCCCGGCTCCAGCTCCGTGAGTCAACTGCCTCAAACACGCTTCCTGATTTAGTGCTGGGTCGGGCTGCATCTGCCACTGCCAGAGCTGCACTTCCCTGTAAAAATAGAAGGGCATAATTTGCTAGAAGCGTCGGATGTGGGAGTGAAGGGAGCACAGCGTCCTTGGAATCGCAGGAATTTGTCGAGAAGCTGGGTCTTCCTGAAAGGCTAGGAATGGGCTGTGACAAACAGTGGGGTGGATGCAGTGTCTTCCCCGTTTCTTAGCCTTTTTGTGCCTGAGGAAGATGGGGTCTTTGGTGGAGAAGACTTTCTAAATCTGTCACGTGAAACAGATTGGCATAACGGGAGAAAAGAATTATTATTTATTTGATTAAATAAATTAAATAGGAGAGCTTCTGAATGAATAAGGTGATTGAAGTAATGTTTGCAGCGATGTCTATAACCAGGCTTTCCTAGAAAAACCTTGTCCTATAAAGGTTTTACCTTAGAGCAGCTGTCTCTGAACTGTCTCAAAGAGTTTGTGACCGTGCATGCAGTTAGCTGGCTTCCCATATGGTGAACTGCATAAACGCATGGAATTCTGATAATTTATTGCCAAAATTGCAGCTATTTCCATAGCACGCGACAACCAGCAGACTGCATTTATCCTAATTACTTTTCCTTTTGGATGCCTGCCTGCCTTCCACATGAGACCGTTTCCCACTGTCTTAGGGTGCCTGTGCAGGACTTGGGACCGGGGGGAATTCCTACCCTACTACTTATTTAGGGAATTTCCTTGTGCCTTATTCCCAGTCCCTCGTCCCTTCAGCGGCCTCACCTTCTCTGTTAAAATCCTAATGCTTTCTTGGTTTAGTTATTTTGTAACCTCCCTCCAGGTTGTCTTATAGCTTGTGCTGGGTTCCTTCTGCTTACACTGCCGAGTGGGGAAAGATAGTGATCCCAGTCTCTCCTGCGCTCCAGTTGCTGTGAACATCGCCTTGCCGTGCCCCAAAGCCATCGTCACATGTTTTATGTTGTATTTTTACCCCCCTGTGTTGGCAGTTTAAACACTTGGTGAGCTGGGGAGAACCCTTACAGCCCCTTGGAGAGATGGCGAAAAATTGCCCGAGTCTTTTATGTAAAGAAAGGAGATCCGGGTAATATTTGTAGTGAAAATTGCGCTGTCTGGGTTTCACGTCTTTCCACTTGGAATTCAGAGCTCAGTTTGCCTTGTCTGACAGAAATCTTTTCTCAGCTCTTACAAGAAAACATTCACAAATATTGGCTCATCTGACAGTTCTCTGCAAATATTTAATTTTGCACGTCATGTTTCTGCCATGTTAAGGGTTCACATGCCATCCAGGCTCACTGCCGTCATTTAAAATTCAGATGTCTAAACTTTTCTTCTGAGCCAGTCCATGTTTCTCAAACAAAATCATAGGTAAGAAAATGGTTTAAAGCAAGTCAAAATACCTGGTACTTTTGCATCCCAGTTTTTGTTAAGTGCCCTGTTTCAACGTGAAAATACGTGAGTGGGGAGAGTATTTAATGTCAGTCTTGTCCTTGTGTGGGCCTCGCCTGCTCGTTTCTTTTTCACTTCCCATTCCAAAAGGCCTCCAAACATCTCCCCTCTCTTTTGCAGTGGTAGTCGCTCTTCCAAAACCTTCAAACCAAAGAAGAACATTCCAGAGGGGTCTCACCAGTACGAGCTGCTAAAACATGCCGAGGCCACGCTGGGAAGCGGCAATCTCCGGATGGCTGTGATGCTTCCAGAGGGGGAAGACTTAAATGAATGGGTTGCAGTGAACAGTGAGTCGCTGACCTTTTTTTCGTGAGGGGGGTGTTGGATGTGGGCTGACACTTGTGGGAGGACAGCTGTGTTCCTTTTCCTGTGCTTAGGCAAGGGGAGGCTCAGGGAGGGACTTGCTCACTCTCTCCAACTCCCCGACAGGAGGAGGGAGCCGGGGAGGGGTGTCAGGCTCTGCTCCCAGGGAACAAGGGACGGGACAAGAGGGGACAGCCTCAAGGCTGAGGTTGGACATTGGGAAGAATTTCTTCACGGAAAGGGTTGTCAAGCATTGGAAAGGGCTGCCCAGGGAGGTGGTGGAGTCCCCATCCCTGTCCAGGGAACGACTGGATGTTGGTCTGGTTGACAGGGAGGTGATTGGTCACAGGTTGGACTCGGTGATCGTGCAGGTCTTTTCCAGCCTAAGTGATTCTGTGATTCTAATGGGCTTTGCAGTTTTCATCAAGTTACTTCCTTTTGTTTCTACCAAGTTTTGAGCCTTTGGTCTACCAAAGTCTGATGTCATTATTTTAACTTCCTCTAAAGCTGTTTGTCCAAGCTCTCTGCTTTCATGCCAAACAATTATGCCCAAATTAATGTTTTGTTTAATTTATTTGTCTTTAATTAATACTTGACTGTGTTTCCTCCTCCTTCCTCTCCCTGCTGCATGAGTTTATCCCTCTGCTCCTCAAGAATGGATTATCCCACACCCTGTCACGATCTGTAGCCTGTGCACTTTCGGCTGCCACAGGCCCTGTCTGGGTGTTCCCTCACCTTTTGTCTCTCAGGCTTGGTGTGCTCCCATGTAGGTGAGGGATTGATTGTGCACTGCAGTAGAAATCGTGCTCGAGATAAATGTCCTCTGATTGTTTCTGTGGTTCTGGCCTATTTCTCCTTGCTCTTGACACATTTGGGAAGTGAAACTCTCCTACTGACTTGAACCTTCCTGTTCTTGATTAGCCACGCAGTGCCCTAGTGCTCCACTTGCCACTCCTTCCAGGGCACGCTGGAATCGCTGACACCACCCTTTTTAAGAGTTTATTCACACTGCATTGCAAAACTGTCTAGAGAAGAAGCCAGCCCGCTTTTATGAGTAAGCGTTGCTTAAAGATGCTTCGTGCGTTGCTGGCATCCTTCCCTTTCGGTGCTTCCTTCGTCCCGTGTCTCTGCTTTCCCGTGTGGCAGCAGTTTTTCCCTTCCCAGGTGACTTAGCTGCTGAATTAGCACAAGTGAAATTATAGCTGCATAATTAAAGAGCGAACTGATGACCTGCTCCTTTCCTCGGCAGCGTCCCTCCACCACAGCGAGCCCCAGAGCGTGGTAGCTGTGAGCCCCCTCTGCCCACTGGGATACCTCAGAAGGAAGTGAAATGTGTGGCTTGGTGTCACTGGTCGTACCCGGCACAACCCTGGCAGCACAAAAACAAACGCGCTCTGCTCTTCCCCTCCTCGCTCAGCCCTCAGCCTGGCGGATGTATTAGGGAAAAGAGTTGATGTGTGTGTGTGGATTTTGAGACTTCCAAGTGTGGGATTTGCCACAGTCACGTCGTTTTGCCGGAGCCTGTGTGGGTTTTCTGGACATGCCTGCCTCGAAGCAAACGCTGGGCTGTGGTTTCTGCTGGGAACAGGGAATGGAAACTTAATTAACAGTTCTTGTGTGCACTTAGGAAGCAAGGGCTCGTGTCCTGCTTCTGCTGAGCAGTAGCTGTGACTTCCTGCCGTGATGTTTTTGTAATCTTTCGTGTTGATTCTCTGAAAGATACCTGGAGATAAAGTGGATTTTATAAACTGGTTGCAGTGGCCACAGTTCCTCCGAACAGAACCTGCTCTTGGTTATTGTAGAACCTTCCTTTCAAAGAGCTTGGAGGAATAAAGCACCAATTTAAAGTAGTAAGAACAATGGGGATATTTAGATGTGCCAACTTCGGGGTGTTTTATTTCAGTAATTCAGCTGCAGACCACAAAAAAAAAAAAAAAAAACAAAACCCAAAAAAGGTTTTGGCTAAGGGAAATGCTTTTCCAAACATGTAACAAAACTTAAAAAAAATAGCACTCCAGGACAAAACTCCCGAGGCTACTTTGTAATGAGGAAACATTGTGGACTAAATATTGATTTGTGGTGATTAGTTGATATTCTAAGGACAGCAGTTGTTTGGTGCTGCAGCTGTTCCTGTGCCATGATTTCTGTGTACAACTCCCATGCATGTAACTAAAAGAGAGTGGAGTTAGATGGGATATTGGGAAGAAATCCTTCCCTGTGAGGGTGGGGAGGCCCTGGCACAGGTTGTCCAGAGAAGCTGTGGCTGCCCCATCCCTGGCAGTGTCCAAGGCCAGGCTGGACGGGGCTTGGAGCAACTTGGGATAGTGGGAGGTGTCCCTGGCCATGGCAGGGGGTTAGAATGAGGTGATCCTTAAGATCCCTTCCCATCCAGACCAGTCTAGGATTCTGTGAAATGTTCCTGGAAAAGGTGGGCATTTGGAATACAAAGCCTGAGGGAAGCCTAATGAGTCACCTACTGAGGAACTGCTCTCTCTGACTGGAAAGTTTACACTGAACATCTTTGTTTTATTCCACACTTGCCAGTAGAGTTTGGGATTCTGATAAAACACACCCAAGTTTCAGAAAAGGAAGTTACTCTGCTTTCTCTTTCCTTTTTCTCCTTCCAACTGAAGATTTCGCTGCAGTGAACAATTAAATAGTTGTTGGAAACTGTTCCAGAAAGTTGGTGGTTGGGTTCTGCATCTCTTTTATAACGGATCTTAAGCAAGCAATAACAATGAAGTTTTTTTCCACAATAAATATTCCAGGGCCTCTGCTTCACGGTCTGGGCTGTAGGAATCTTGTGTTGCAGAGTGTTGATGGGTGGCTTTGATGCTTTTCAGCTGTCGACTTCTTCAACCAGATCAATATGCTTTATGGAACCATCACGGACTTCTGCACGGAGGAGAGCTGCCCTGTGATGTCTGCTGGCCCAAAGTAAGAGCGTTTTGGCTTCCCAAAATCTTTCCTGTAGGTACTGTGCAAATATGAGATGTCTGGGTAAGAATCCCCCCACCCTGTGCCTCGGTTAAGTTTCGCCTCTTGGATTCCTGCCTATGCTTTTGTACAGACATCCAGTGTTTGTGCTTTTTTCTGCTCTCCAGATGCTTAGTGTCTTCCAGGGAGCAAAATACCTGCATTTCTGAGTGAGTGGGGAGAGAGGGCTCTGCTTCCTTTTGAATTACTGTGAAATCCTAAATAAACAGTAAAGAAAAGCAAACCTCTCCTCCACTTCCAGAAGGAGATATTTTCTAGTGAGGAAAATGGGCCGTGATTGGGTTTTCTCTTTACAGATGGCCAGTAACTTGTGTATTTAGTGTAAGAAAATTCCTTCCTCTGAAAAATGCAGGATTACCCCATGGTGCTGGGGGCGGGGGGTGGTGAGGAGGGAAGGTTCTCCTTGCTGGATGATATTTGGACGAGATTTTCAGCATGGAATTCTCTTTGTTGTCTTACTCTGTCTCCAGTCTGATCCTGGAACCTCAGGATTGTCCTGCAGTAATACCACTTCAGTCTTGGTATTAGGGCAGTACCGAGTGGTGAAGGATGCTGATTTTTCATAAATCCAGACACATGGCCCATTTGGCACGCCCGGGATTTTTGCACGTGTTCTGAGATACAAAACCAAAATGCTTTCAGGCCCTCTGATTTGTTGCTGTTGGAAAACTTGGGATCGTTTTATCCCGTCGCGAGCAACACCTTCGCAATCCCTCATCCAGTTTGTTTATGGTGAAAATGTTCTCCCAGTTGGTGTTCTGACAAAACTGAATTTGTTAAACAAAACGAGAAGGCAGATTTATCAGATGCTGTTAAGCTTTGCATAAAACCATGTGTGTGATTTTTAAAATAGAAACACTTGAAAGCTGGTGTTGTCAGGCTCCCCATGTTATTGTGTTTGGGTGTTTTTGAGCTGCTGTGTTTTCAAGATTATCCACTTTCTCCCGCGTCTGGACTGGTGTCAGTGGCGTTCCCCAAGCCAGGCAGAACATCTGTTCCATTCTGAATTCCATGAGGGCATGTTTCTCTCTGGTTATGTACCTAGTCTAGAAGCTTTCTTAATCGTGGGATCAGAATCCCAGACTGGTCTGGGTTGGAAGGGACCTTAAAGTCCATCTTGTTCCAACCCCCTGCCCTGGGCAATGACACCTTCCATTAGACCAGGGGAGGGTGTGGGAGCAAGGGGAGCAGCCTCCCAGGCCTTGTCAGGAATGATTCCCTGGTGCTAAGCAATGTCTTGTCCCACCCCAGGTACGAGTACCACTGGGCAGATGGGACCAACATCAAGAAACCCATCAAGTGCTCCGCGCCAAAGTACATCGATTACCTGATGACCTGGGTCCAGGATCAGCTGGATGACGAAACGCTATTTCCTTCCAAAATAGGTAGAGTAAACAACTAGAGCTGAGCAGTGGGTTTGGATCGCAGTTGTACAGGAGTGGTCAAGTCTCAGGGCAGGAAAAGGTCTGACGCGTAGGGCGGGTTTAAAACGTTACATTATCTGTTTAAACACACTTATCTCTCGAGATAAAATGGATGGGGCAGTGCATGAACTCTGATCCCTCTATCAATACTCCTAATAAACGTCTCTCACCGTTCTGAATGCAGGAAGTACTGCTTCTACTTAATAACTGACTCCAGTCAGATATGATGGGCTTTTTTTCCAGTTTGAACAGCTCCTTCAGAAATAGAGTATCTCAAACCCTTAAAACCAGTCATTGGTACAAACTGGCAGCTTTTTGACACAGGAAAGATGTTTGGCCTTCATGAGGACTTTCTGGGCCTTACCTCTAGAGAAGCTGAATTCCATCTCTGATCTTAATGATTTTTTTTTTTTTTTTAAGTGAAGATGAAAAGTAGATGTTTTAAAAGGTTTCTTTTCTTTTGGAAAAATAGGAGGAAAATAGTGACCAACCCCCAAATTCGGAAACAACAACAAGGGAGATCTCTTAATTGCTTTAATTTTGTGAATAGTTTCTGAAGCTTTTGGCATGTTTTCGTTAAGCTTCTTCAGAGAAACAGGGCTGCCTTCAGAAAGAGAGAGAGACTTAAAGGCCACAAACTAACCAGCTAAATATGAACTTCCCGTGTGCTGCAGCAGCCAGAGGAGGAAATGAGATGGACATGTGAACAGGGCAGGCTTAAGCAGGAGTATGAAAACATTATTGCTGGGTTCTGAAAGCATTGGTGAGGTCCTGCTTGGTCTTACAGCATCCAGAGCTTGGGCCTCACACAGGACCTCAGCCCTTGGAAAGGCAGCAAAAGACCTGAGCTGACTGGGGAAACTGGTAGGTGAGGAGAAGCTAGACAGGTTTAGTCTTTTTTAGATGGTTGATGCATATCTTTTTTTAGCCTGGGGATGCGTCAACGAAAGAGATTATCACTCCCGGTAGCCAGTTGCCATTTCTGAACCCATTTTAATAAAACCTGTGCAGTGACAAAGGTCTGCTGGTGAAACTGATTTTACCTGTCCTGGGTGGTTTTCTCTGGAGTGACTGAAAGGAGCGTGTCCCAGAATACAGAAGCAGGCAGATCAGAAAGCAGTAGCCTGTGGCCAAGGGTTTGGGAAGAGCAGGATGGAGACGGGAGTCTTTTTGCTGGGCACGAGGCAAGTGGAAGAGAGCCTATTTCTGATTCCACTTTAGCCAAGAGAAGTGTAACATCCCGTGGCTGATGCCAAAAGTGGTTTCAGTTACCTACTCCCAGGTACCTGGTGGAGCTTGTCCTTGTGCCTCGGCCCAAGCCCACTGTGATTTAGGGGCGGAATTGCCGAGCGAAACCGAACAGCCCTTGTTGGGCAAGAGCGGGTTGGGTTATCCTGGCTTTCCAGAGTACACAGGCACGGCCTGGGCGTTGAAAAATAAGCCATGTGTTTCCTCATTTCCAGGCGTCCCGTTCCCAAAGAACTTCATGTCAGTGGCCAAGACAATTCTAAAGCGTCTCTTCAGAGTCTACGCTCACATCTATCACCAGCACTTTGATCCCGTGATCCAGCTGCAGGAGGAGGCACACCTTAACACTTCTTTCAAGCACTTTATATTTTTTGTTCAGGTAAGGAGATTGCAAACTGTGCTCTCGCCTCAAAGCTGCGTTACTCCCTTTCCCTTGTGGGGAAAAAAAAGAGCATTTTCCTACATTTCCTTCCCTTAAACGGGGGGAAGCCCTTCAGGCCGTGGAATGCTGCTGATTGGTGAGCGGCACATGGGCAGGACAGGCTGTAGTGGCTAAGCCTGGACTCAGAGAGCCTGCTGCCAAATAAATGCTGGCTGAGTAAGGCTTCTCACCGGAGCTGCACGTGCCAAACTGTGTGTGTGTATGTCTTTCTCCTCATCCTCGTTGCAGGAATTCAACCTTATTGATAGAAGAGAACTTGCACCACTTCAAGAACTGATTGAAAAACTCACCTCGAAGGACAGATAAAAGGAAGAGGACTTCTTGAAGTCACTTGTTTCTTTAAGCAAGCGTGTGGTATTTGGTTTTTTTTTTGTTCATTTGGGTTTTTTTTAAGAAACGAAAACAAAACCAACCCCCTGTGCTGTTACCAGTGACAGCCGAGATCTACTTTCTGTGCTTTTACTAGGGGAAAATCTTTTCTCTGTTAGTGACACGTGGTAAATAGCTTTTTTTTTTTATTATTATTTTATTTTATTGTTACTCATTGTGGAATTTCTAGCAGGTGCTGAGTGTTTGTAAAGGAAACGTGCTTGGTTGGGGGATTGACTCTGCTGGTGGATGGGTTCTTGTGTTGTGTCAGTGGTAGCCCATTCTCATCAAGTCCCTAAAAGACTTGCTTACATTCTCTAAGTGCCTTGGCAGACTCACTTCTGAGGTGCAAAGCACATACAATACTGAACATTGCTGGAAACAGAAAATATGTACTAACACCCAGACACTTACTGATACTTGTTCTAGAAAAATATATATATGCTTACACTAAAAAAAAAAAAAAAGCCATAACTTGCTGAATCAGTGATCTCCAGCTTTTAATACAAATACTTGTCTTATTTTTTTAGAGATGAATATAGAAATTTTTCAAAACTAGGTAAGTTCTTACAAAGAGAAGTGAAGTTCCAGTCGCTGCAGCAAAACGGCCAAGGCGGCATCAAAAATCACACAGACCTCATGCTGAGCAAGTGCTTCCACGTCTGTTGCCATGGAACTCCTCATGGTTGCTTTTATTTTTTTTTTTTTTTTTTTTTAGCAGGGAAGCACCAGTTGGGTCGCTCAGCTTTGTTAAGTTCCCGAGCAGTTGCCAAAGGAGCATTTAGTTTGCACAAGCACACTTAGGGAAAAAGATCCGTCAGAAAAAATTGCACTGGGGTAATAGTAAGGAAAACCTGGATGGAAAAATGGCTAGTGGAAAGGTGTTTTTAAGCTAGGAGTACAAAGCTCCGTGGAAGAGCTCCAGTGGCCAGTGTTTGCTGTGGTGGGAAATCTGTCTCTGAGGGAAGATCAGTTCGTGGACCACTTTGGAGTTACGTTAGCGTGAAATCCCTGGTGAGGTATTTCAGAAGAAAAATGTATAGAAGTGAGGCTTTGCTTGGAGATACCGGTGCAGTAATTCACATTTTTGGCATGCTCCTGCCCTGGGAGGGTTTTGTTCTTGTTGTTGTCGCAGTTTTTTGCTTTTGAATAGCCACTTATACAAACCCAGAGGCATCTGCTGCAGTTCAGCCAATCAGAATTGGAATGTACTAAGTAAAAAAAAAAAAAAAAAGAATCTTCGGTGGATAGTGTATTTTTTGTATTTAATATCTGGCAGTAGAGAGACTTTGAGTAGTTTCTAGGCACGTAATAAAAGCTTGGAGATCATGATTTGCCCGACAGCTGTATGAACACATTGTTTAATTACACAACACTTGAAAATATCACCATTGAAGGTATGCTTGCAGTGGTGGGGATTTAGTATCCCCGTGCTGTTTCTATTTGCAGCTTTTCATTGGTTTGGTGTTTTTTTTTTTTTGCTTGTAAAAGCTGTGGGACCAGAAGTTGAGGTGTGTTTACACTCTCGAAGTCAGGGCACATGGAAATGCCACACAAAATGGAATCTGGATCAGGTGAATGTGTTTATAAAATAGTGCATTTATGGGGGGGAGGGGAAAGGGGAGGACAACCCCTTATCTCCCAAACAAACCCCAGAGAAACAAACCCCAGCGGACTCTGAGGGGCACAAACTTCCAGCTTGGTAGTCCCTGGGAGCAGGAGGTGCCGGTGGGGTCAAACCAGGCTGTGCTGCCAGCCCTGCCTCGGGGCCTTCCAGTCCGACAGGGTCAGAAATCCCGTGGTTTGGGGTGGTTTGCAGCTCTGCTGGACCTGGCGAGGGATTCGGGTGGTGCCTTGGGGAGGGGGCACCTGCCTCGAGCTGGGAAGGGGCGGACAGCGGAGTCCTTGGAGCTCAGCCACCCCGGCAGTGCTGACAGTGCTCAGGTGATGATGGATCCGGGATGCTTTGTCCGAGTCTTTCAAGTCAGGGATACGAGGTAACCACGCCAAGAGGAAACAAACCCGCTGCGTTGTGCTGGTGCGGGGAGCTGAGGGGCAGAGAACAGGTTCCAAGGCCTGTCTGCGAGGATCCAGTTTCTTTTCCTGCTTACTATGCAATGTAGAGCTTTGAACTTCTGCTTTTCCTTGGAGATACTGAGGAGCGCTGTCCTTACTCAGTCCTTAGGACCTGACCCCTGTCCCCGTGTCCCTGGCCCTCAGTTAACAGGTAAGGACACCTATTTGCTGCTATGGACTCGACTCACCTTTCAGATTGTTCCTTTCTGTTTCCTGCCCCCGCCCCCTTTCTCCCGGATCACCAGACACGGTTTTACTACCAACGCCTCCTTTTGGGATAGTTGTTTTTTCCTTCCTGCCCTCTCCCCCCATGCCTACCTGCCAGAGTGCAGTTACTGTACATATCCCCCCTTTTAGTTGGATTATTTAAGAAGCTGCAGCACAAAAAGAGATTCCTTGCTTGTTTTTTTTTTTTTTTTCCCACTAAAATATTCCTTTTTATGCCGAGTCTCGTTTCCTTCACTGCTGATAGCAGTCGTCTCTTTTCCAACCTGCACTCCTAAAACCACTGGCAGTTTCATGGATGCCTGTTGTCTTTCCCTGGATATCTTTTCTTTTAACGTGAGACTAACATTGGTGATTTCAGTGTTAAACCCTCTGATTTCCCTGCTTTTCTTACAGTTTCCCCTTGCCAGGTTCAGTTTGCAGCCTATAGGAAAAAATCCAATTAAGTTCGTTGGGTTTATATTTTTGTTTGTTTTGTTTTGTTGTTGGAAGAACCAATTCCCTAAATTGTTCATAGAGTAATGTATTTTTAGGGGAGATTAATTTTTTATAGCCACTAAACTATACTCATTATTTTTGTACGTTTGCAACTTGGGACATTTTTCCGAGCCGTGTCGCGGAGGGAACACTTATTTTCATGGCTGTTTGACTACTTGGGAATGCTGTGGTTGTGTTGTGTAGAGGCACGTCACCTCGATGTGCAATGGAAGAGAGAGAAGGATGCAATAAAAATGAATGAGGTTTCAATAAAAAGCCATTTCTGAAAGCAAAGGAAAAAAAAAAATAGTATATTCCGAAAGCGACACTCACCTTTCCTCCTTTAGAATCCTCAAATATATGGGAGAAAATACAGTGTAAAGTAAAAATGCGAGGAGAGAACCCTTACTGTGAGCTAACTGTGCCAATACTGCTTCAGTTTGTAGCCACTGATGGAGACTTTAGTTTTAAAGGAAAACAGCTTTTGATTAAAAAAAAAAAAAAAAAAAAAAAAAAAAAAAAGGAGCTGAATGTCTGAAAATCCGCACCGTGTTTATTTGAGAGTTGTAAATAATGTATACAGATGGTTGTATGTGATGGGACAAAATATTTAAATCCTAGGGTTTTGTTTTTTTTTTCTTTTTTCAATAAGAAACCGAAGGCTGTTTATAAGAGAAAATAAATAGCTATGTTTGACCATGACTGTCTTTATTTCCTTCTTGGACTTGTTTCTAAAGGATCTCCTGCTCACAAATAGATTTATTTTTTTTTTCCCCCCTGTATATTGTGAACATCTGCCCGTGACACACCCGAGGATGTCACCAGGTAACCGACGTCACACGCGGTGCAGACTCTGCCCTTGGCCCTGCCCAGCAGCACAGGTGCCTTGTTTTTGGTTTCCTTTTGGCTCTTTCTCCTCCAAGCCTCCCGTGACCCCAGCACCTGCAGGGTTCCAGATTTCCCGCCTCCCATCCACACTCGCTTCTGTCCCGTGGTAAGTCCCCTGTCACGGGTGGTTTGTGGAAAGGTGGTGGAAACGTGTGGATTTGGCCACAGTTTTTCAGCACAGATCTTGGGTCAAGGCTGCCTTGCTGCCACTTCCCAATCCATAGATCTGAGGGGTTTGCCTTCTTTAACTGGATCCTCCGAGAATCAGAGGGGTCCTGTAGTGGGAGGGTATTTTGGGAAACGTGTGGGTTTGGTGGCTGTTTGGGGGGTTTTAGGGGTTTTGTAGAATCTTAGAATTCCAGAATTGTTTGGGTAGGAAGGGACCTTAAAGATCATCCAGTTCCAGCTCCCTGCCATGGACGAGGACAACTCCCACTATCCCATGGTGTTCACATCCCCATCCAGCCTGGCCTTGGACACTTGCAGGGATGGGGCAGCCACAGCTTCTCTTGGCAGCCTGTGCCAGGGCCTCCCCACCCTCACAGGGAAGAATTTCTCCCTAAAGTAGAGAATCCCTTTCTAAAGTAAAGAATTCCTCCCTAAACTCAAGAACTCCTTCCTAAACGGAAGAATTTCTACCTAGTTGTTTTCAGCAGTAACCCTCTCAATTCAAGTGCCGGTGCTGTCCCTTTAAAAAAAGCCAGCCACTTCTAAGGTATTCCTGGAGGATTTTTAACACAGGCGGTGGCCCGGCTTTGAGGAAGGAAGGGGGGGATCCTTTTCCTCCCTTCCCTGTTCCCTTTTCCCTGTGAGTCGGGACGAAGGGGGCCGCTGAGAACGGGAGCAGCTCGTGACAGGAGCCATCGACGCGCTCCGCGTGCCGCTGCTCTTGCCTGGCTGGCTGGGTGAGTGGGAGGGGCCGGGCGGGCGGGCGGGCGGGCGAGAGGGCGGGGTCGGCCGCGGCGCGCGCGTGCGTGCGTGCGGCGTCACGGGCGGGCCCGCCACCGCCGCCGCCGCGCGCCAAATTCAAAGGCGGGCGCGGGCCGGTCTCGCGCCCCCCCTCGCGCCCCCTCAGGCGGGTCTCGCGCCCTCCCCTCAGGTGCCCTCGCGCCCCGCCCGGGCCGCCATGGCCGCCCCGCCCAAGCGCGGGCGGCGCGACAGCCGCGTCAAGAAGGTCGCCGTGGAGGGCAACATCGGTGAGTCGGGGCCCGCACCGCCTTCGCGGGGAGCGGGGGCACTTTCGGGGGGGCGGGAGGTAAGGGGAAGAGGTGGCTCTCGCGGCGCTCGGTGGAGGGGGGGTGGTGGTGGTTCGGATGTGGTTGGCACAGCTCCGCGGACCCCGCGCTCGCCTCTCCCTCAGCCCTCTCTTTTCTGCCGGGGCTTTTCCCGCCCTGGCGGAGTGGGGCAGCGGGGATGGGTCCACAGGGGTTTCCTGGCCGTTTCCCATCAAAAAAAACACCGCTTTTAGTCAGGTCAGGAGGCATAAACAAGCCAATTCATAAAGTCGGAGATTTTACCGCGACACCGTACGAAACTGACGCGATTCGCGATTTGTTTTTTTTTTTTATCGTTTGTAACTCATTCACCTATTCGGCGTTGACATTTTTTTTTTTTTTACCCGCGCTTTTCCCGCTTGTGGCGTTAAATTCCCAGAGTCACAGAATCTCCCGAGCTGGAAGGGTCCCACAAGGCTCACACCATGTCCTGGCCCTGGGCGGGGCACTCCCAAAATCCCACCAGATGCCTGAGGGCATTGTCCAAACCCGTGTAGATGCAGATAGAGAACAACCCTGTTGCTCCATTAATTGATGATCTGTGGAACACGATGGGCTCTGCTTCAAGTCCAAAGTTCTTGGGTGCGGGAGATTGATTCGTGGGGATGGAAAATGGAGTTGTGCAGTGGTTAAATAACACCACTGTGGGTGGTTTCTCACTGACAGTCTTCCTGAATGCTTTTCCTACAGCTGCAGGGAAATCCACCTTTGTGAATATTCTGAAACAAGCCAGCGAGGAGTGGGAAGTGGTTCCCGAGCCCATAGCTAGGTGGTGCAATGTCCAGCAAAACCCTGGAGATGATTGTGAGGTAAAAGAGAAAAAAAAAAAAAACAGTCAAGCGTTCCTCTAATTTCAGAAGACCTGTATATCCAATCAACAATCAGGTGTTTTTGTGATAGCAGTGCTTCTGCTGATTCCTTTCACAATGTTTGAGTTCCTCTTTTCTGGTTTGTTTGGTGTATTATGGAATAAATGTTGTTCAGCATCAGGATGTAAGTTCTAAAAGGGGTAAAAGCCTTTTTCCTGTATCAAAGCAAGGGATGGGAAAAAATGAGGTAAAGTTACTTGTAACAATTGTGAACTATCCAGGTGAGTGCAGAGGGTTGTTCCTGGTGTTGGAAGGCGTCCTCTGAAATGTCTAGGAAATAATGAACCCCTGCTAAATGGTTTATAGTGGTGTTTTTTCCCCCAGCTACCTGTAATTCCATTAGCAAATCCAGCTGCTGCCTGATGGCCACAGTCTGCTGTGCAAGTAGCTTTAGAGGGGCTTTCTTTTGATTTGGCAAAAATACACTGTGTTTTGGTAAAATCAGTGTAAACTTAACGGGGATGCGTTGCTCCTGACTTCTCCTCAGCTGCGTTTTCTCAGACAGTTCATTTTCTGGTTATTTCCCCTCTGAATGCAGGAGCTGACCACGTCCCAGCAGAGTGGTGGGAACGTGCTGCGGATGATGTACGAGAAGCCGGATAGGTGGGCTTTCACCTTCCAGACGTACGCGTGCCTCAGCAGGATCCGGGCTCAGCTCAGCGCCCTCGAGGGCAAACTCCAGGACATGGAGAATCCTGTGGTCTTCTTCGAGCGGTCTGTCTACAGCGACAGGTGCGCGGGGCCCAAGTCCTCGGGGGGAAGATCACAATTCTCCCGAGTAAAATCACAGGGTAGTTGGGGTGGAAATCTGTCCAGGCGGGTTTGGAATGTCTCCAGAGAGGGAGACAGAATCACAGAAACAATTAGGTTGGAAAAGACCTCCGAGGTTATCAAGTCCAAGGGATTTGATAACTGAATCGCATCCCATAGTCCTTAGGAGTTCCCTGTGTTCTAAGATGCTGACAATAAAGGATGCAGTGTGCAAACCTGTTGTTTCACGGGTTATTCCTGGACACCCGAGCTGCTAATGTTCCTGGTGTCTGTGGACACAGTTACAGGAGGAGGATACCAGCTGTTTAATTCCACTCCAAGTGTACATCAGAAATGCTACAGATTTACTACTCAGCTTTTTGTCTAGTTACTTCAGGCAAACCCAGGATTCCCGTGTCCGAGCCGGTCTGTGTTTCCATCGCTGTTTTGTGTCCACAGGTACATCTTTGCAGCTAATTTATATGAGTCTGATTGCATGAACGAGACCGAGTGGACTATTTACCAAGACTGGCATGACTGGATGAATAAGCAGTTTGGTTCAAGGCTGGCGCTGGATGGGATCATTTATCTCAGAGCCACTCCTGAGGTGAGGGACACAAATGTGTGACTGCACAGAGAACGAGAGTCCGTGTTCTGTGCCTTGCCCCTCAGGGTTAGAGTCCAGCTCAGGCTGCAGTGTTCCCCTGACCACTGTAATACTTGAGCTGTGACTGAGACAGTCTGGAATTAAAAAAAAGCTCTTTCAAGCGCAGCCTGTGCATTTGAAAGTGAACTGTGATGATAATGATTCTCTGATTAATAAAAAAGGACACATGACAGCAGCAAACCAGGAAATACCACTGGAACAAACCAAGCAACCCCGGGAAAGTACAAAAGAACCCTAGGAGTAGCTATTATACAGGGAAAAGACAACAATTTATAGTAATGTCACAGCTGGTTTGGGGGGTGGGCTATGAAGCCCCTACACCTGGGGCACTGGAGCTAAGCCAGGTGGCAGCACCTGCCGTGTGTGAGGCTTTATGACCGTGCTTTGATCTTTGGGCATCTGGAGTTTGTCTAAAAGGAGAGAACGGCATCATGAATATCTGTCTTGAGTATGAAACCCTGCACGAACAGGAGAAAACGTGAGTTTAGAAGAGCTCTAATTAACCTGCAGATCACATCCGTATTCCCTTGCTTCCAGTTTCATTATGGTTATAAACGCTCCGCAATTTAACACACTGGAGTGACTCTTGAGGGCTTTTTTGTTTTTCTGTTTAAGAAAAGAACACGTATTTAAATTACAAAGTACAATACTTAAACAGTTTTGGCTTCTTTTTGATGCTTTGGATGTGCTCAGGATGGGAACAAACGATTTACTGCACTGGAAAACAGTTCCTTTGAGTCAGGAATATATGGTGAGAATTTGGAAATGCCTGTCTGTAATGTCAAATGGATACTTACTTCTGTGCTCTTGGCATGCAATACACCAATGAATTTATTTTTATTATTTTTTTGCCTTTAGAAATGCTTGAATAGGATTTTCATGCGAGGAAGAGATGAGGAGCAAGAAATCCCCATTGAGTATCTGGAGAAGCTTCACTACAAACATGAAAGTTGGCTCCAGCATAGGACACTGCGGTAGGGTTTGTTGAATGGTTTCTTAAGGATGGATTCACCTGTGTAAGAGTGTTCCATAATGCTTTTCCCACCAGTGAAACTCCAGCTTTTCTTACGATATGTAAAGCTAAACTCCAGGATATTTTCTATAATATTTCTGTCAATGCTAATATATCCCAGGAGCCATGCTGTAAATTCAGAACTCCTGGCTGGGACTTGGATGCTGTCTGCTTTATTTTCAGCTACTAATATTTGCTTTGTTCCTCTCCCAATGCAGAACAGATTTCGACTATCTACAGGAAATTCCAGTTTTGACCCTAGATGTTAATGAAGATTTCAGAGGCAAAAAGGACAGATACAAACACATGATCGAAAAGGTAACATTTCACAAATGGTTGAGGTTGCTCTAAAATTACACTTCACTCTCCAATCCTCCTTCTAAAATATTAGAGTTACAGTTACATGCAGGTAAGGAACAGTCTTGTTCCTTGCTGCAAAGCTTATTTTAAAATCCAGGCCAAACCTTCAGTTTAACTGCTCAGGTGTTTGGTATTTGAATCCCTGTGGGATTCTAGCGAGGACAACCTACCTTTTGTCTGAGCAGTTGCAATGACTTACAGACCTCGGCAGTGGGACACGCACGTTCTTCCGCTCTGTGGAAATAAACTGTTACCTCACAAGCAAAGCAGCTTTGTCCTTTGATCTCTCTTGATCCACCCAGAAGTGGAACTGTTCACCTGATTAAAACCAGTCTGCCTGGTGGGACTTGTTAATCGATGGAATGATGGGACATGGCAGATGTGGGGGGGCGCATGTTTCCCACCTGCACATGATGAAATAAGGCTCGGGAGACTAAATACAGACTTTGGAGGAGTTTATTCTGGTGTAGCTGTCGGGTTATCTGGGAATAGCCTAAGCCCTGTGTGGGCCCTTTTTTTGGCATTTCCGAAGTGGAGCCCCAGAGCCGCTGCACTTGATGAGCTGTGCTTTGGGCTTTGGTGTGTGCTGATGTCCCACAGAAACCCTGAAACTCTGCCTGGTGTGTAAATCCAGACAAGGGTCTCCAAGTGGGATTGCTGGTGCCATCCTATAAAGTGGAGGGTGGCTTTCTGGTGATTCCTTTCAAGTTGCAGTCTTGGCAACTTGGGAAAACAGTTATGTTTTCCCTTCTCTACAGGAAGGGATTTGACCTCTTTTTTTTCCCACCTGTCCATGAGCCCTGACCTGGGAAGGGAAGGGGTCACAGTTGGAGAGTGTGGTCCAAGATCTGTTTCCATTTCTCATCAAGAATTTGGACAAAACATTTACAGATGGGCTCTGCGTAGGAGAGCCTCTGCTCAAAAAGTAACACTACTCTCTAGTAACTGGTCGATTCCTTTCCATGGAGCAGCCTGGCTGGAGTGGGCAGACAGGAGAATGCCCCCAGTTGAGGCTGTATCACAGCCTACTTGCTAGGATGCTCCTGACACTTCAAGGCAGCAGTTGTGAGCCTGGTATTGATCTGCAGTTGCAGGTTTTTTTTCAAGCAATGTGGTTTCAGTAGGTATTGCTCTATTATTTCTTTGCCAGCCTCATTCCAGGGAACATCCTGATTGGATGCCCTGAGTTGTTCACGGCATTAAATCCCTACGGTGTCCCGGCAGCGGACGTGACTCGGTGGGTTCCAAATGACAGCTCTTTTGAGGCGGTCATTATCCTCCCTGTGTTCGGGTTACACCTGCCTTTAAAGTAACTCCTTTGTGACTGAGGGCTGCAGTTCAGCACCACAGGAGGAGTGAGCATCATTCCAGTGTGTCTCTCCCTGCACCTGCTAAATTACAGGTACCATGTCTGGGAATGTTTTTGATGGACAGGTAATGGCATGGCCAAGCCAGAGATCCTTTTCCCCTGTTTCTTTAGGTTGTAGTAAAGCATAAAGCAGCGGAGAGGTAAACAGAGTTGCAGTCTATTTCTGTTGATAAACACTTAGTGTGATTGACAATATTTGTTTCTTTTTGCAGGTCAGAGAATTTTTGAGCACATTATAATCCTCTTTGAAGTGCAGACAGAGTCAAACCATTCCAAACATCTGTGCGATCAAAGTCTCGAGTGCAGCTTCTGCTTTTATAGGAGGCCTCTGGAGAGGCAGGACTCAATCCTGGTGATTTGACTGTGAGGAACAAATAAACTTTGTGAACAGGGAAATTACTAAATAAATCAGCACATCTGTTCAGTATTGTGTTAGGTGCCACGCACAGATTCTGAAGAGACAAGGATTCTGAGCATTCCCAAATGTTGCACCACTTTTTGATCAGACCGATGAGTTCTAGAGTATTTTATAGATTTTTTTTTTTTAAACTGATTTTTTATCCAGTTGCTATTTAATTGTTGAGAAGGCAGTGGATTTTTAGATCTCTACAGTGGCTTTTAAAGGCATTGATTTTTAATGGATGAGGACCATTTTTTGCTGCCAAGGGAATTTTAATGTAACCTGGAGTTTTATATTTTAAGGTACAAAAAAATGTCATCTGATGATTTTGGTAGATGAAATTCTTCACAGAATGCATGAATTGAATGCAAATACAGCTGAAATTCTCTAGCTGTCAAATGAGATTTTATATTTGTTTTCAATGTGCACTGCAAACTAGGATTTTCAGAGGCTTTCTGTTCTCTAGCATGTTTGTTTGTTGGGTTTTGTTACCCTTTTTTTGAAGCTTTTAATGAAGCAGAGCTGTTTTTGTTGTTGGTAAATCCTCTTCTCCTGGAGAGGAATACGTTTGCTTGCCGGGTACCCTAATAGGAAGAAGAACATTTTCCAAATGGCCTCCATCTGTGAACGATGTGCTTAGAAACCATCCCATGATCGCATTTGGGATGTCAGAGGTGGCTTCCTGCCTTTGTTCCAGCTGCTCCATGAGTTCCCTGGGCCTTCTGGGTGCTTACATCAGATCCTTCACTATTTGAAGTAGGCCGTCACGTCTCAACTGCTGCGGGTCAGAAGGGGACACCTGTGTGGGAGTGGCCGCTGCTCCGTGTTGTGTTGACTGAGCCTCTTGTTCCCGGTGCAGAAAATACAGACTTGTCAGGGTGCACATCTCAGGTGCTGGGTTTTGTTGTTCTGCTTTAAACGATTCTGAGTGCACAGTTGGCTTTTGAAGGCAAAGCTGTATTGCGAAGCATTTTATTGTCTGCCTTGGCGCCGCTGTTACCTGCTCGTCGGAGATGGGATTTCTTCCTTCGTGGCTGGAACTGTGCTGGCATTCTCAAACCATTGGCTGAAAAATAAAAGTGGTTGGAAAGACTGTTTCAGTGCCTAATAGTGTTGGGTCTCTGGTCTTATGAAAGAAGTAATATTGTGGATCACTGGTATATAATACTGGTACAATGGATGAGTTGAAGGTTGTGGATTCTCGGTGAATTTGGTGTAAAAAGTTAACCGAAGATTTCTGAGGAACTGTGACTGGCTTCAAATGTTTTTTCATGTGTGGGAAATGAACTTTTGGGATAGAGACACAGAATTACATAAAATGCATCATACGTGTAACAGTGCTCAGTACAATGTGTTGTATAATATTTGCGTTGTAGTGGAAAGTAGAAGGAGTCTGGCAGAAAATCCTGTGTGGGACTTGAAGGTTGCCCAGTGAAAGGAAAGATTTTAAGATCTTTGCTCCAGAAAGGAAGTGAGGTGGAATGGATGAAGATTCAGTTCAGATTTACTTGAAACACATAGTAGAAGCTTTTAAAACATTCTTGGCAAGAGTCTGAACAGTAACAACTTATTTTGACTAACAGTGCAATTATTCCTGCAGTTTCAGCTGTCAGAATTGTGGATTTAATTACAGGAATTGGAATGACAGTGCTCGTTGCAAGGAAGTAAACATGTCTGAGTTCTAATAAAGGCTTCTTTTGAAACCCATCACAGAGAGCACACAGAAATTCTGTGGCAGGTTATCTGCAGCCCGTTCCAGAAAGCTTTACAAAATCTCTGCCTGCCAAGTTTGGGTTGGAAGGAGCGAAGTCATGACCAATTATTAGAATGTTTTTAATTGGTGTGCAGAAAAAAAACAATACCAAACCCCAAACACACACCCCACCGGCCCCCCGAGCTTCTGGGGGCTCTGCAAGTGGCTAGGCTGGAGCACACGGAGCTGTATGTAGGACACACGGCACCAGGGATGGCCTGAGACTCGACTTAAACCTCAGCTCCAACAGTACCTCAGCCTTCTGAATCTGTCAGTATTTCCTTGGCTTATTCCCAGGCTACCGCAAACCAGGATTGTTCTGTTGGGTTTTGCCTGTTAGAGATGCGGAAATTTTCTGAACTGGTGTGTGCTGTTTGGGTGAGGATGGTTTTTCAACCTTTGGGACTTGTGTCCCGTTCTCTTCCCTTGGGTGAGAGATGCTCCGATGGAATTGCATAGGAATGTTTGCTTGTTTAATCAAGTGTCATCGCGGTCGGGAAACAAAATTGGGATGTGAGGTTTTTTCAGTTAGGATGCAGATTAGACTGGTTAGTACTGTTTTAATCGTGATGCAAGTACCCGGGTGAGCAGTGGTCTTAATATTGCCTTGTTTTATCCTCAGTCCTTGTGGTTGTTTTCTGTGTAATGCATTTTAAGTTCTCTTCATAGAAACGCTTCTTGGAACAGCAACCAGTTTTGTAGGTAGAACCTAATTTTCTATAATTTTATGCCAGTTACTGATTTGTACTGTTTTCTGTATACATAAGCTGACTTCATAACAATGGGATTGCATATAAAATATGATTAGTATTGAGAGGAACCTGTTCTTTTTCCAGTAATTAGATACTGAGGAATCTCCTTGTGAAGTAAAATGACCAGGAGGAACCCACCGTAAACTGTTAGGCATAGACCAAGGAGGTCTGTATGTACGTGCAATAATTTAGAATATCTTATCAAGAACCAGTGTGCAAGAGCTTGTGCCAAGAGGTTTCGGCATAGCCAGATGTAGGGACTCCCAGGTGATTTTTCCCAGCTCCCGTTTAGACTCTGCGTGACTGTGAGTAAATAAATCACTCTTTGCCTCAGTGTTTTCATCTTTAAAATATTGATACTCCCCATGCCTTCAGGAGGCTGGGAGGATGCGCTGGTTAATATTGATGTGCTCTTTTGTAGGTCTGAAGTGCTCTGTTAAATAATTGAGGGGGAAGGCGGCCCTGGTTTTAGGTTTTTTCTCTGGGATGTTTGGATGCTCCTGACCCAGATTCATGGCCAGTGGAACTTATTTATTTGTTTAAAAGATATTAAAAGCTATCAATGCAACGCTGGCTGTATTGAAGTTAGTTTGCTGAAGGGCGTGGCCACTGGAAACACCATTTGTGAGGAGAGGAAACTTAGAGGTAGTTGGATCTTGAAATAAAGATTGATGGCAAAAGCCGTGCTGCAGTCCCTGTAGCTGTAGAGGCAAAGGGGAGAAATCCCTGCCAGAATCTGCCACAGGAGGTCATCGCATCCCTGGTTCTCACTCGCTGGGCTGGCTGCGAGAGGAGCATTAGGGCTTTAACAGTGAATGGCTGTGGAAAAGGTAAAGAAGGAAGAGGTCACTTCCTCTCTGGGCCAGAGCAAAAACATGAAACTGATGAATAAATGCTCTACTGAATGGGATAAAACTTGCTCTGGGGAGGGAGGGGAATAAAGCAAACCCCGCTGGATTAAGTGAGCAACTAGAAAAGGCCGAGTTAATGGGAGGGGTTTGGTCACCAGAAGGTCTTCCGTGCAGCCACCAGCTGTTTGTGTGCTGTGAGTGAATATTAGCGCATGGATAACACTAATCCCGGGGTGTCTGAGCTGTGGCAGCCTTTAGCTCTGGGCTATCCGGCCCAGACACAGCCCTGGGCAGTTCTACTGCATGAGGCCCTGCACAGTACTGCATGTGCCAAATGGACCTGAACTGGGCATGCTGGTTGAAATCCACTAGGGATCCAGGAGTGTGGATTCCACACCAGGAATAAGCAGCGAAGGGCTTTATTTTCCCTTAGCTTGGTATAATGTAATGCTCAGAGCCCAAACTGGAGGCTGTGGTGTGCAGCTGACTTTTGTTCTTGGGTCTAAGTTTTGGTCTGTGGTATAGGGAACGCGAGAGTAGTGTAAATAAGAACATGGTGCTTGGTAAGTGAAAGTGCAGGCTATATTACCTGTTCACTGGATTTCTGCTGACTGCTCTTCCCAGTGTCCTGGGCAGGCTGGACATTCCATATATGTATCTCCAGGATGTCAAGGTTGTGCAGCTAGCACCACGGATGTTTGCTGGCTCACAGTACTGACTGCCTTGGAAAGAGGCTGTTGGTTCCTGAGAGTTATTTACAAAGATGATGCCACTGCAGCTCTTTCAGAGGACATGTTGTGCTTTCTCCTGTCCTGCATGTTGTGCTTCTCTCTGATTTGCTTCTGAGTTGTTGTGATTTGTCTTTTCGTAACTGCTAAAACCATGATCTTGTACAGGTTATAAGAGACGAGTTAAACCCAGTGCTTAACTTGAATGCAGCTTCCTTGAGGATGTGGCTTCTGCTCTGTTCCACTTGGGTGTCACAGGTGTCCTAGTCTTCTTTTCCAAGCAGTTCTGCTTAGTTAGCCCACCTGATTGCTGGGGCCCTTCTAACTCCTGCTGCTTTCAGCACTGTCCATGGATGTGCGCTGACAGTGTCCCCTTTTTGTCATAATTCCCCCCAGATTTGCCTCCTCTGTTTTGTTAAAACGATGGCTGCTGCTCCCTGCCGAGCCTCCCCTGCAACTGTGGCGTTGTCCTCGCTGTGGCTCGTGGCCTTTACCCCGACCCCTCAGCCCAGCACAGTTGGCCTCAGGTCATTGACTGGCTTGTTGGTCAGTCACCTGTGTGCTGCCCGTACTGCGCCTCGTGAGGAGAACGCCCGCGCTCACAGAAAGAGGGGCCTGACTCCTCGGGTATCATCCCTGAGCTGCAGCGCTGCTGCTCTCCTCAGGGCTCCCTGCAAATGGTCCAGCCGAGTCTGGTAGGTGTTCCAGGTGTGCTGGTCCTTGCCGAAGTTTCTGCGCGCTGTGACACGGGAATACAGCTCAGTTTTGTGGAACTGAGCAGTTTTAGGTCTTGGAGAGTGAACTGAGGTTCCCTGAGGCTGAGGGCTCTCCTTTCCTCGGGTACTCTCCATTGTCAGCGTGCCTCGTGCTGTTGTGTGTGTTAAGTGCTGAGGTGCTGTGGCATGGTACACTCTAGAGATGAATTCTTACCGTGCTTGCC